CAAGATCCGGATTTTCAACACCGACGACAAGTCAGTGCTTCTGTATGGTTCAGAGACTTGGTGCGTTACGAAAGGGACTTCCAACAAATACAGACATTCGTCAACAACTGCCTACGCTGGCTCGTTACTGAAGCTCAGACGGCCAGAAAGAACAAGCAAGAAGGAACCCTGACTGGCTGACGACGAACTAACCAGGAACCTATCACTCAACAAATATGCAGAAGGAAGTGGAAGTGGAGATGGATTGGGCAAGCACTGAGAAAGCTGACTGGGGACATCACTCGCCATGCCAGTAGCTCGAGTGGAACCCGGATTGGAAGCGACGAACTGGACGTCAGTGCTGAGGGTGACATGGAGGAGACGGTGTGAAGAAGAAATGAGAGCTTGTGGGCTGTCGTGGAATCAGGTTCAAAAGATGGCAGAGATGAGAGTGTACTGGAGACGTGCTACTGAAGCCCTATGTTCCGTTAGCAACCCAAGGGAGTTATATGCATGCGTATATAACGATGAATAAGTCGGACTTAATTCCTTGTGTTTGAATATGTCTCGGGGCAAACTGAGCTTCCACATGGGAGAGCCTTGCAGATGGTGCGTGGACGCAGAAAGTGGGAAGCTGAAGGCATACGGCCATATAAGCGGCCGAGTCGTATTCAGCCACTGACAAGGGAATTAACGAGGCACGGTGATGATAATAAAAAATTACAGTGTAAAACAAACCAATAAGGAGTGCAATAAGAAACGCAAGGCCACCCCAAAAAACAAAAATAGGCCAGATAAATAAACGCAAGAAGAAAAACAAAGGTACTAGGCAAGTAAGTGATACTCGGGCTCGCCAATTGTAGGGGTGCGTGTTACAATTCCGTAGCGTTTGATTAACCCTGCTTAACTTGGTGTGGTCTAGTACTTGATTAACCAGTATTTTACCTAACATGTAAGTACTAATAACAAAACACAAACCAGAAGAACCGATGAGGAATATATTTGAAGAGCCAATGTGTTTAATTTAAGTGGATGTAATGATAATGGAGGGGGGAAAAGTTTGATCAACTTATCTGGCTTGTAAGGCCGAACTATGGACTCTGAGTACGTGTGTAGTAGCCAGCGCTATGGAGCGCAAAAGTGGCGTCCAAGCCTACTCGGATGCATGCTCGTTAAAACAGAACTTAAAACACCCTGAGCATCCGGAGGCGGGCTAGAGGTTCATCTAGTTAATCTAATTTGATCTACTTATTTTAGCCGTAGTCGTATTTTGGTGCCAGGAAGGTGCACTACAGGCTGCACGGCATTTCATGTTTCACACCGTCATTTGCCACCATTTCTTTGACTTTTTATTTTGGATAAAAGGATGTATGGGACGGCACTACCACTTGTATGTGCTAATCAGTCACTTAGAAAAGGAAAGAATCCTCGCAGAGCTGTTTCTCCGTCACCTATCAAAGAAGAGAGCCATATTTTTGAGTTGGCAGTTGTGTCACGGTTTTCTGTTCAGTTTATATGGGAAACTGTTCGCTTTTATGCACGACGGTAGAACCACCTAGATAAGTGTCATTCCTATCTATAGCGTATTCTACAACCTCTGTTTTCATAGCTTCACCAAGCGAAAATCCGCCATTTAAACACCCTTTCCTCCCACTTCTGATCAGAATATCAATTCTTCTCCTGCCTCTCGATTTTGTCTCGATCGGCAAGAAAAATCCTAAAGCACAAAATCCTTAGTAACTTGAAGTTTTTGAGCGTCTTTCAGAATTTAATCCCTTTCCTTTATTGACTTGAACGTAATTTTAGGTAGTCAGAGCTTGTTTTTGGCAGGAGCTGCCACCTTTCGCCCGCTCTTTACATGCTGAGCAGGATGAGCCCGGCATATTTTCTGGTAAAAGTTTGTTTACCTCACTGTGGTCGTGCTTTTGCAATGATGATAAGGATAATCTATTCTCGGAGATACAGGCACAGGCCAGTTTACAGGCCTTATTATATGCTTATCCCAGTTTGACACTTCCGGTTGGTGAAGTTTCACCGCTCAAAGATAATCAGTTGGTTTGTATAAGTGGAACTAATATACGTTTGAAATTGTGTTGCATTTTAACGTGATTTCGTAACCGTATCATAACGTCGTTATTAACGCCGTCACAAAGCTATTCAATTCTCAAATGACCAATCACATATCAGACATGCAACTAGATATGGTTAATGCGTGTAAAAGGGCATGGACACAACTGCCTGTGGAACGGTGCTTCAAAAATACCCAAATGTTGGTGTCACCAAAAGCGGGTTCCTCTTGCAGCAGACGTGAGTCAGCTTATACTCTAGTTATGCTCAAGAGAAGAAGAACTGCGTTCGATAAGGCAGCCAACAACAACAATAATAATAATAGAAACATCTCTGCATGCCCAACATGTAATAAGACCGCAACACTAAATGTTGCAGCAGATGTAAGGCTTAATGGAAGCTCCACGTTCTTTATGAGACCAACTAGACTTCAGCCACCAAGTGTGTCACTGTCACTTCTCCCAGAAACAGAAAGCCTGAAGTCCTCTATAGAGCAACTAAGGGCAGAAATACGCAGACTGAAGGATGACAAGCATAATGATGCACCACAAGAAAATGTGTTAAGGGTGTTCGAGGTGTCACCCCAGGTGGATTAAATTAGAGCTCAGATTGGCAACCTCTTGCCGCTAAACATCTTGACGCGTAATGAGTCCATTGATGGAGTTGACACTGAAACACTAACCAAGGTGGATCACCTGGTAAACTTTATCACCACTGAAGCAAGTAACAGACTTGCAATTAAATTGAACGCAGTAGTTTACAACGTCCCTGACACGACAAAGTTGAAGGCGATACGAGAAATTTTGCTTACAACAGCAAAAATTCATGATGTCCATGCAAAATGTTTTCGACCAAAAAAGAGCCAGCTGTCCAATACGCATTCAGTTTAAATCACGGATAGAAGCGGAAGCATTCACCAACAGCAGAATCTATCTTGGCAAAAGACACTGTCTTCACAGGAATAAAGACAGTTCTTGATAAGAGAGTGGTGGAGAGACAGGTACACAACTGTGCTCACAGACCTGGCAGTCAAAAGGCTACAAAGCTGCAACATATTAAAGCAGTATCTCCCCAAATATACCCAGGCATAGGACTTCTCCTTTCACAAACTTTATCAAGCCGAATATGCGGAAAAACACACCAACCAACGTGGAGATGGAAGACTGCGAAACGCGTGACTTGACTCAACCACCCAAAACTGTAGATCCAGACGTATCCACAGAAAGCCCCCAAGTGAAACCTGACAGCACCAAACGTGACAGAACTCTCACTGAGGTCCGCTGGAGGCTTAAAGTCTACTAACCACGCCAGCCTAGGCCCTAGGATATCGGCTACTCGATGTACAACAGATAAACCAATGCTCCTATGGAACCCAACACGTAGAGACCGACACAGAAAGCATATAATGATCCGAAGTGATCCCTTAATCCCTTCAGGAATTGACAGAAGTACGAGCCGTAGCTTCACCAAGGAGGTTCTATGCACTAAGCTACGTCTCAGTGGTAACGAGAACAAAAATAGACGTCACAACAACCCAACCCTATCGTTTACTGATGAGAAAAGCTAGTATCGAACCACGACACGGTACCTCAGGTCTTGCCCTAATATCTGCTGCCTCAGAGAAAAGCTTCTTTTGCGCTTCCATCTTATATTTTCTCCTCAGCTTCAAGTTGGTGATAATGCTAGGGCTTGTCAACTGATCGTTCTAATTGGGTTGGAAATTAAATGTGCGGATCTACTGCATGACCAGAAACTTTTGTCACGCATAGGCTCTTCCAGAATACGGAAGACTTTCGATGACCTTGATCAACTTGCACATAAAAGCAGATGAAGCGCTTTGGACGGCACTATTTTCTGGTATCACCACATGGCTTGCAATCTTGATCGAAGTGCCGGGTGTATCAGGCGTGCCTTTTTAGAACATACTTCAGCATTTGATCCTGTCCCGAGGCCTCCTTAGCTGGGTAAGCTGCAAGAGACTTGTACTGGGTCCTGAACAATCATCTGGCTGCATTTCTGCTTCTGAAAGGAAACAACATACTGTTCACAGTGGGAAGTGCTTCTCCTCACTGCCCAATTTAACTGATGTTTCTCAAGTGGCCATACTTTCTCCCTCTTTCTTTCTGCATAACTTATCATCTTAAGCGAGTATAAGTTCCATCAGATGTGTCAATGACCCAACAGTTTCCATACCTGTCTCCTCTTCAAAAGATTGTTCTCGATCGAATGATTTTCTGCTTACTGTTAAGTGATAGTCCTCTGTGAATTGTCTTATGCTTAGTTCTTCAAAATTTCGGACTAAAAGCCTTAGTTTCAGACGTGAACATAACCTACGTAAACTGCTGAGTCCTCATGATTCTTGTTCTATGAGTAACTGCATACCAGAGAGTGTTACAAGTGTGATTTATCTCGGTGTGTGCTTTCATTGGACTTTTCCTGGTCCTGCATTGTAGAATCATCCGTAGATTGGTTAGGGACATGGATGAATATCTTAACCGCCGCTAGATGAGAAGACATGTGTAAATCTTAATTCATATGTGTACCGAAAATTGACGACATGTTACTTCCTATGTAGATACATTCTTCTGGGACATTTAAAAAGCCCTCCTTTCCACATGTCACACTTCTTAATTATCTATCTGGAGTAAGTAACCGTTCGTGTCCCTTGACACTGGTTAGGGGCCCCTGAAATATCACTGTGAACATTAGTGGTATAGTTTGCAATACCATGCCACCACTATATTTAGGAAATTTCCAAGAAGTTAGATTGCCACTTAATTTTTGAAAACGTTGTTGTTGAATTCCCAGTGGATTTTGCAGCCCAAACCAATTAATTCTACTGAAGTTATCTGATCTCTGCTTTCGATCAATCGCCCCCACCAAAGCGGTTTAGACTTCCTACTACATCAGGCGCGCAGTCGTGGTAGGCGCAATTGATAGACGTCGTATACTGAATGATATCGAAAGATGGTGCAGAAGTTGGGATTGATTTGGGATCATTTTACCTAACAAAGTGGAATTTTCACAAGTAAGTGCAAACACTGATTCAAATGAAGTTTGTGCATGTGCAGTATGCAATTACGCAGACTCCAATTATCGCCGCACTCGCATAACGTTGGACTCCATGATCGCCACGCTCTCTGGTTTGCACTTAGAGAGATAGGGCTTGTGCTGTAACGTTCAGCGCTTATTTTTTCACCGGGTAACTGAAGACCTAGCATGAAATAAATGGCAGTGCTTTTTTAGGGATACGCATTCAGTTGCGGTTGTAAATGATGATGACTTCTCGCCAAGTGCTGACTTCTCTCTCTGGCGCAATATCAAGAATTCACCATAATTACCTTATCGCTGACTAAGGTGCATGAATTCTGAGGCTGTGTGAGTTGGTTGGCCTTTGTCACTTAGGTCAAGCGAAAGTGGTGCCTCAAAAACGTAACTAAGAATCCATTTTGCTGAAAGCCACTTTTTACTGCAGACAAAGTTTGTGTGGTGAAAGAAAACGGACAGTTTTAGCTAGTATGTTGAAGTGAAAATGTTCGTGGTTTAATACACTAAGCACAAAAGCGTGAGGGTTAGAAGGAAAAGTGACTTATGAACGAGTGACTAGGCTTGAAACACAAGCCAGTGGGAAAATGAAGGAACCCCTACTAATGCATTGCCGTAAACTTGAATCGAAAAGGAATAAATCACGTCGAAGACACGGGATATGGGGGTAAGTGGTTGCAAATATTCTAAGCCAGACGTCGTGGAATGTTGGCCTAGGGTAGCAGATGAAAAACGAGCGTGTGGGCAAGTGGCACACAATGGGTATTCCGAATGTAATATTACACCTAGTTTCCCATTTGTCACTTTATAAAATGGCCCTGTATCTTGCTTTTTCACAGAATTTTCAATATTATGTTCTACCAATGGAAGATCTTAATAAGCATTGATTCACGTCAATATTCTCCGAAAGGCTCATATGTTCAAAGGTAGAAACTGCTTATCCTAACGTTCACGGAACGGTGTATCACAGTATAATTCTCTCACACCTTCCCAACACGCTTTCACTAAAGGGCAACAGTAAGGACTGTGCTGCATGGAGAGTTGTTGATCACGGGTTCCTTGAAAAAACAGGTTGTGCACAACATTCACGTGGAAAAGCGTTTCCCAAGAAAATCTTCGTTGGCTTCATCCATTTCAGTCATTTCAGCTGACGTATTTGAGCCGTCAACTCATAAGAGACTGACCATTTTACCATTACTCAACGTATGTCATGCTCAACGCAGATTGGTGCTCACTAATAGAAACTAATCAATGACTTACCCACGTGCAAGTCCTGATAACCGATGAAGAAGAAGGAAACACATTATGTTGTAAAAAGATTTCAGACAACTGATCGATTTTCAAGGTTGAAAGAAAAACATCATCTTGAGGTGAAGTTTTAAACTTGTTTGTGTGTGAATGGCTGAAATAGGAACTCTGGGTGCTATGGTACCGATCTTCGCAAGGAGAACCATAAGACTGGCAAGTGGTGATGAGTGAACACATACATCTCGAAATGGAGCTGACGACACCCATCAATAAAATTGAAAGTTATCTAGCCATTATTTCGGTATTTCTAGTGTTTATTTATTTATCTTTAGCCTAGCAATATTTGGTCACAAGGAGGTGGACCACGAGCGTCTTTTATCCAGCAATTAACCGACCACATATTTGTGTCTGCAAATGAGTCTAAACGTCAGTCTTAGGAAGGATGCAATATGTAAGGTTGTGAGCCAATCTGGATAGCTTTCCTCTGCAATCTCCATTACTTCGTGGTGCTTTTGTAAACTGCATGACCAGGTTTTGACATTGTTTTCTTTGTCATCACTGAAGTCACACGAAAGTATAGTAGTATTTCCACGCAGAAGGCGAGGGCGATAACATTTCTTTATTTTGCTGTTCGAAACTTTATCAACCAACACAGTTAGTTTTAAGGCACTCCATGGAAGTTGGAAGACAGTTGCGGCCCGGTCACAAGGTCAAACGTATACATTTGTTCTCGATGAAGATCACATTGAGTGGTCCACGATGGCAACTGTTTCTGCAAAGCAAGAACGATATTTTAAGTTTTTTCCACAGCAAAAATCCCCTGGTCTTGTTGCGTAAACTTTTTACGTTTCGGGACACTCATCAGGTTCTATGAGAGAATGAGCTCAAGCGCCTTAGTAGCCCATTCTGTTACATCAACGAAGTGCTCAGTAAGATCAGTGTGACTGAGAGACGTCAACGTCGTCAGCTGCAGCGTTGGTGTGTACAGAGGCATAAGGAGCCCTTTTGTCCACCTCGTCTTGAAGGCCCTTTCCGTAACAGCCTAACTTAACTTCAACCACCTTAAATGTTAGACGAATGATGTATTTAATGTAGAAAAGTGTTTGAGCACTTTTACTGATGAATTGTACCGAAATGCAGAACTAGTTCTGTTATTTTAACCGATACCATCCTTCGTATCGTTCTTACAGTATTCACCAGTTTGTCATTGTGTTCTTTCATATCCACAGAAAGCTGCCACCTTGGGATGGGAAGTAAGCTGGAATCTATTAACCCACGTAATGCATTTAAACGATTGACTGAGCTACAGATGTTTATCTTTTGTGAAGATTTAAATACTGTTTGGAAGAAAACGGGAAGACATGAATAAGTTTGCCTGTCTAAGTTAGCTTATGATCATGAAATTGAAATTGGATTACAGTTGTTTAACACAGTCAAGAGAAATTGGTTGAAGGTTTGTTTGGTCTTCAATTAATTCACTTAAGTACTGGTGCTTGTTCTTAGTTAATGTGGTGCAAGTTTAGTTCCATAGTTTATCGCTCAGTCAACTGAAGAAAAGCTTATCTGAAGAGTTTGCTTGGGTGTAAGACATTTGTTTTCAAATTTGTTGCCCACACTTTTGTAACTCATGATCAGCAGTTTTTATTCCTGTGTATATATAACAAATGAAGATAGATGAAAGACGTACTATATTGCTTTCAAATTTTTCATAGTGGATAAAGAGAATCGCAGCTTGGATACATTCAATTCAGACAAAAAACATGCTACTAGTTAATGACGAGATTACCTTTAGGATCCATTAAAAGGAGTTTGTATTTAGTAGTGGTTAGGGTATCTACCTTAAGTCACCTTAAGTTCACCCCTTTTGTCCAAGCTACATATGTAGTTCATCTGTTCGTCACCAAAGTGTACTTAGTTTCAGCAAAATGTATGGATAAAATATCGAAGCTATTGTATGCTAGTTGATGCAGCTGTTTACTATGGTTCCACTAGTTAAAACACTTGATTTGATTGAATGGATGTTTATACTTCACACTTAGATTGAGAGTGAGGAATTTTGATTACCAGGTATCCGACTTTAACTTCAACAACTATCTTATGACCCAATTCAAGTAAGCGACTCCATTCGTATTCATTGGAAAAGTTTTACTTCGAAGTTGTTGAGGGGATACTTTTGAAGCTTCTTAGATATATTATATGATACGCTGAGAAGTGAATACGTAAAATCAGCCTTCCATGCAGCTTTTCATACATAGGACTTAATAGTTAGCTGTCCACGAAACTTATTCCACACAGTGTTTGAAAAAGATTGTTATTTTCATTCGATTGCAACAGAAAATCCATTTTGTTATCAAAAGTTAACTAGGTTGAATCAAAAAGCTTGTCAATTAGCGTCGATGAATTCCCTGTAAACTTTACGTTACTCAGCATTCGTTTACCAGTCTGGATGCTTTTGACTTGTTAGTTTCTTGAGCTTCCACTTATTATTTGAAAATAACATCCCGTTGCATAAACCTGTGTTTGTTTAGTGATGATAAGGTCAAAGGCCTGGTATCTGGCTTTCACACCATTACTCAAGCGAGTTCTGCAAATATCATTTAACAAATAATTCAGATACCGCTCATCAAATGCAGGCCTTGTGTTAGTGCGTACGGATGGGGAATGCCACATACCACAATGACACTTCAAGGTAAAATTAAAGAATGGGAAAGGTATGTCTGAAGTTGAGGTGTCCTAAAAACAAGAGGGAACATAAAAAAATAATGCTCTGATTCAAATAAAGTATAAGTACGTTTGTTTCACTAATGTCAATTAGATTCTATTGTCTACTCTGTTTTTATTATTTTCTTTTGTTACTTCCTACGACTTTGGTCTCTTTGCATTTCATCTTGGTGACATGTATCTTGATAGGCTGACATAAGTAACTTTATTGATTATCATAATGTGAACCGTTGCCCTTGATTGTCAATTTCTATGCTGATATTGTATTCTGAACTAATTATTTTCCTGAAAGAATGTAGCCACGCCACATTAGTTGTTTTCGCGTCCTTCAACTCTACAGACAAAAATGTCGAAAACCAATGAAGGCTGAAGAGATGAAAAAACAACGGCTCCAATGTACCATTAGATATTTATTTAAAGATCAAGGAAACTGATCTCACAAAGTCATTGCTTAGTGACAATAACGAAGGATGGGCATGTGGTTCACTTCCAAGAGGGGTCACTAAGATGATATGCCAAAACACCTCAAGGAACAAAGAAACTGGCCTTAAGCTACTATTCCGTTGCCCGCTATCCATTCGATCCCTAAATGGAACGTAGATTGGCCTGCCAACTCTTGTAAAAGCTGGGGAGGCTATAAGTACTCTGAAACGAAGAAGAGCGACAGGAACAGACCACTTGTGCCAGAGATATTTAAAAGTGATAGTCGTTGGTCATTGGTTGGATTAACTGAAGTGTTAACGAGTGTATATGGGAATCATGTCATCCCTTGTGTCTAGTTCCACTCACTGATTATCCCAGGTTTTAGGTAAAATAAGAAGTTCACCACAAGGAAATGTATCTCATGAGCATATCATCTAGGACCTTAGGTTTTTATAATCATCATGTATCAAAGTGAAGCTCAGGAACAGCCAACTCGATAAAACCAACCAGGACAGGTTGCAGAGAGTTGGTCGTGGGTTAACCGATCTGATATTCACCCTCTTTCAGAACACAGTTGCTTACTGAAGCCTGACACTAAATGTTTTTCTTGACTTGAAGGTGGCATTCACCTTCTCTAAATAAGATGTTTTATGTCAATGTTTGTCACTAAAACAAGTACTGGTCCAGTACATCACCTTGTTAAAGACTGTTTACCCGAACAGTTGTGGGGGTCAGCATATGATTAGTTGTGTGCACCGATTGGTATCCGTCAAGAATATCTACTGTCAACTCTTATTTAAATTTAATTATGAAAGTCGTCGTCTGACTTGACAGGGACTGGTCTTATCACAGTAGAATCCTGAGTATATCTGGAGTACGCCTGCGACAGTCTTGTTTCATGTAGACGCTGACAAGATGCCGAGTCTTCTGAACTCACCAAGTAGTAATTTTGGGACTTTTGGGATGCGTTTGTCATCACCCAAATGTAAATTGTTGCTCCAGAACTGGTCTGTGTCAGTGTTCCGTCTAACAATAAGAAGTGTTGTTGAGCACCTTGACAACTTCACCTACTTGGGATCAGCCCTTGGGGATGAGTGGCCGACGAAATCTTTGCATGTATATAAATGGCTCACCTGGCCTTTGCCAGCTTACACTAATTTTGACATCAGCGTTATGTATGACTTCCCATTAAGAGCCAAGTATACTGCACACTAATGTGCTCTGTTGCACTGTGAAACATGGTCATTGAAAGTGAAGTATTTAAAAAGTCTTAATTCTCCGAACCCCATTTTTCTCGCAGCACAGATGGTGTGTCGTGGCGCCACTACATCAATAATATAGTAGTCACGGATAGTATTTTAGGGAGAAGAGGAAAGTCAGTTAATGACTTTGTGAACCTTTATGGACTGAAGTAGCTGGGACATGTCGCGCATGCCTAACTACCACCTACCTCGTCGTACAGTGTTGACTGAAATAGGTTCAGAATAAGTAGAGGTCTGGGATGGTCAAACTAAAGCATAGAATCAGTGTATAAAGTCTTTGGCCGTTTGTTTGATCTGTGTAGGGAAGTGTAGGCTTCCTGGTTGGGGTCAGTGTGACAACAGAAACTAGTGGTTGGAGACTGTAGGTGATATGCCTCAGAACCTATCTCAGTGACTCTGATTTATCCACGTATTGTCCTTATCTCAGTCGTCAAATTAAATTTCAGTATTGGGTCATTCTTCCTTGGCCTTCTTTGATGACTACCACTTTTGTCTGCTTTCTTCTCATTTTGTTGTCTCTTATTTTAGTGCATTCTCGCTTGATGCGCTGATATGAGTTGTGGTAACTTGCAACCCTACACAGTGATGTCAGGTTCCATGTTGATTCATCTGTCTGCTGTGTAATAAGTTCTAGATAAAATATCTTTTAATATGAAATTATATGTCGACAATAGGCAGTTCGATTTAGTCTCGCATTGTACAGTATGAGAGAAATGAAGATTGATTACTCAAAGGTTGCAAATATCTCGCCTTGTATAGTCAGTAACTAATATCTGTGAGTGATGGGTAGAAAGTGCAGTTATATTTGGCTAGTTAGACGTACAGAAAGTTCATCATCATCAATATCAACATAGGACCAGGCATTACTGGGTAACGGTCCACAGCTCATATCAGCACATCAAGTAAGTAAGGTAGTGAGGTGAGAGATGAAGATAAGAAAATTCAGTCAAAAGAAATATAAAGTATGAGAAGAAATAAAGGAAGGATGACAAAATGGTGAGAATCGGCATAATATTGCGATGAGGATAATGTGTGTATACATCTGCGCCGCTGACATCGATTCTGAGCCATATCACCTGGAGTCTCCAAACACTGGTTCCTCTTGTCCCGCCGATCCCAACCACCCGGTCTACATCGCCCAACATGGCTCAGGCGAACAGTCAAAGACTTCACACATTGGTGCCACGTTTTAGTCTGACCACATCGGGCTTTTTTCCAGCCTGAACCTACGTCGGCCGACATTATGTGACGAAGCAATCAGTGACCAGGCATATGTAACACATATCCCAACCATCTCAATCGATGAAGGTTCACAAACTCGTCAACTGGCTTGCCTCTTTTCCCTAAAACTCCACCTGACTTCCGCGTTATTCACATGGTGACACCACGGAATATGGCTTATGCTACGAAGGCAACTGTGGTGAAACACTTGGAGCCTTCTCATATTAGAATCACATGATATTGTCAAAGTTATGTATCTTCCAGTTGTTAGTTCAAATACATGATGTTAAAGTATACTTGTTTATTTGTCGTTACAACTGGACGCCACGAGAGTTTACCATGTTTTTACATCCGAGGGGATCATATTTGATTCCCAGACAAGTGAATCAGCAATCTTATATTACTTTCCTTAGATATCTCTGGCAGTGGTTAAATGTCATTTCTCGTTCTAGGCTACTGATAGAGAGTTTAAGACCATTTCAGTGTTTTATTCAGGTCACGATTGGTAAGTTTAACTGTTCCTCAAAGTGTTTTACTTATTGTTACCTATGAGTGAACGGTTGATCTGTTATTCTGTTTAATATTTTCACTAGCAGCTGCATTTTTATTCCAGTGTAAGCATGTTTGAACTGCAGCTTCATGATTCCTTATCACCACTGATTCCCGCTTATTCGGATGATGAGGAAGCCAGATATGTATTAAGGGAGGTGTTAGCTAAGCATTTATCTGAACAAGACAACAATGCTTATCCTGAGGGAACCTGGGGTGATATTAAGTCTGTTGCAGTAGCAACGATAAAGAAAGTTGGTAACCTACACACGAAAGTTAACGAACGTCACTGGATTTTCGCAACGTCGTCGGAACTGATTGATGCTGAAAGAATGGTTTCAACTAGCTCTGACCACGATGAAGAGCGAAAGCAACTCAAACATAAGTTGACCAAGAGTCTTCCCGTTGGTTTCAAGCAATGGCGGGTGGCGAAAGCAAGAGAAATGAAGAAGGCACCCGACAGCTATTTAAGCTTACTAAGGATATCGGCTAGAAGAAGACGATGGTTAGTGAAATCATCACTGAAGAGGATGGGACGCTGATAAACTCTCAGGACAGGCGGCTAGAACGTTGGACAGAAGACTTTGACTTCAACTCTCTTTGAAGTTAAAAAGGTTGTATCGAACCTGAAACGATTCAAAGCAGCAAGACCTGACAGTTTGCTACCTGAATTTTTCAAGGATGGAGGTAAAAACTTGCTGATTAAAGTGACGGAGGTACTAGGTAGTGTCTGGGAATCAGAGGTGGTGCTGTTAGACTATTGTACTTCATTGGTCATCGGAGTCTATAAGAAGGGAGACAAGTCTTCTTGTGATAACCATAGGGGAATTGGCTTGACTAATATTGTGTCCAAGATCCTCGGCTGCATAGTTATTTGACGCCTCACTGGAGCTCGAGAAGGCCAAAGAGCTTTCTGACCTGATAGGGGGTGCATCATTCATATTTTCACCCTCCAACAGGTTCTGGAACACAAGCATGCCTACCGGTAGCTGACACTTGCCATATTTTTTTTGACCTGAAAGCGGCATTTGACTCTATCGACCGTGAGGTGTTGTGACTGTGAATGGAGTGCTGATCAAGTGTATAACGCTAATAAAGCTCTCTACTCAAACCCAGACAGCCATTTCAGAGTCTATGGAGAGTTGCCATGTGAATTGACAACAACTAGTGTTCGCCAGGGATGTCCACTATCGCCGTTTCTATTTAACTTCGTCATAGGCGTAGTAGTGGACATAACCTTTAGGTACGTCTGATTTCACAAGGATTAACCTATTCTCTAGAAGTCGCCTGGTTGACTTGAAGTATGGAGACGACACTGTCCCACTGGGTGAAGGCGTTGACAAAACGCAGAGTCTTGTGAACTCGTTAAGCAGAAATCTGATTATATTTGGAGTGCCTTTCGCACCTGTCGTGAAATGCAAGATGATGCTCCAGGCATGACTGGTCTGCAACCACTCCCAGTTTAATGATAGGGAGCGAAGTAGTGTAACGTGTCGACCGCTTCACCTGCTTGGGGAGTCGCAACAACCTGATAGGGCTAGTTGCTGACGAAATCTCAACTTGGATACAGAAGACCCGTTTGGCATTTGCCAGCTTGAGTTACCTGTGGCACCGACTAGCAAGATACCGATTAACTACCAAAGGATGAGTATACTGCGCTGTAGTCCATTCTGTCCTGATTTTCGGCTATGAGACACAGCTATTAAAAGTGGGAAACACAAAGCGATTACTGGGTTTCGATTGCAGATGTCATTGCAGCATTGTTCGCATTTGATGGAATCACTGTGTGAGCAATGTAGAGGTCAGTCAGGCGAAGGATCCTAGGCAGGACAGGCAAGTTGATTGGTGAGGTTGTGAACCTTAGTCGACTGAGATGGCATGGACATGTACTATGCATGCTGACCCACCGCCTACCTCAACGTGCCATGCTGGGGGAAGTTGGATTAGATTAGAAGAATGTTCAGTCAGGGTGGTCAAACAAAGACGTGGCACCAGTGGATGAAGTTTGTTTCTGTTGGTCTGAGCTGTATGGGGAGATGTAGACTGTCTGGATGGGGTTCGTGAGACGATAGGAATCAGTGGTTGAGGACTCTTAGTGATATGGGTGAAAATTGGTCACAATGGTGCAGATGTATTTACTCCTTGATATCTTCTAAGGCTTGATTATTTGTACTAACCTTATCTTCAAATTGTGTATTCTGTCAGACAAATTTGTCTACTTGGATATCACTCTTTTTCTATCCATCTGTTGTTTGTGTTCTACTGTGAAGTGTGGCACCTTGAGGTGATGTATTTGTGTGCGGAATTCTGCGTTGATTTCTTTTTTGTCTCTTCTTATCGCATCTTGATGTGTTACTTATTAAGTTCTGTACTCAAATTTCGGTAATAAGTCCAGGGATGATATCTGTCCCTTCTTGTTTCAGTTCGGGCATCTAGGTAGGATTATTAGCCCGCACAATAAGTGTGACTCAGCTTAGTATTGAAACTCTTTCATTTATCTTGTGTTTCAGGTTTTCGTTTTCACTGTATTGCACTGGTGGTCCAAGGCTTCCAGTCAGAACTTCACTTTTTGGGTAATTCTCATGAACTTATCAATTAGTAGAGATGAAAATTCGTGAGAGCTGTTTCTTATTAAGTCTTTGGATTATTAAGTTAATTCCTGTTGATTAGTTAGAGGTTTTTATCAGGTGACAAATGTTCTACAGAATTGGTGCTGTCTTATTAAAATCATTTCCGTTCCATTTCGTGTAATTATCTGATATCAGAGATAATTGATTCCTTTTGTTCTTTTAGGTTTTTTGTGGGATTAAAACAGAAAGTTAGATATTTCCAACAGAGATCTGTTTACATTACCACAGAAGCAAAGACCAAGACATTTTCAGCTCGTTGTTCTCCACTGTTCAAAGCGTACAGATTGAGCGATTTTTCTGCTTTCCGATTAATTCTGGATATGTGTGCACTTGTGAACTCTCAGAGAACTTCTTCAAAGAAGGCGAAGGCCAAAATATTTGAATATTTCTGTAAAGACTTATCGGATGATCTTGCTCGTAGCGCGTGTTCTGTTGGGGGCCCTGATGTCACTTTCGTTGTTAGTCGGAATGTTTACCATGGATACCGAAATACATTATCTATATTGAGTGAAGAGTTGAATAAATGCTTTCAGTTGGATAATGGAGAAGCTGATTATGGCCACACTTGTGGGTGTGTATTAAAAATAACCCGTTCTAAGTCGTCAAATTGCTTCAAAGTGTTCATTGATGCTCCCGTTGATGCCTTCGAAGTTGTGTTCAACTATATGTCGACACTAAAGTAAGTTTGCCTTAGTGGAAATTTGTATATTATATTTTTTTATATGTACAGTTTTGGATTGGTCGGATATCCAGGGAAAACGTTTTGAAACTTCTGTTAGTCGGTATGACGAGCATCTGTGAATTCCCGTGACGACAAAATGGAAATCAGCAAACTTTTTTGGCGGTTTGTTTAATCGAATGTTAGCAAAATGATCTCCATCATTTTTCTGTTAACTTTGCTCTCAGTTAATGAATAAAGCAGGTTTTATGACTTGAAAACAAGTTGACTGTACTGGACAGGAATGCAGTTGGGTTTTTGTGGGTCAAAAAATTGTCGGTCGTATCTATTAGGAAAGCCTTCTGCTTATCATTTGCTATTTTGGTAGATGACTACACTTGAACTGTGGTTGCACAATTGATTTTAAATTCAGTACCTACCATTGGGGTTTTATATAAGTCGTTGGGAGAAAAGTTGATGAGTTTGAGTTTTAAATCGATCGTTTCTGAGTTTGAATTTCTGGCCAACAGAATGTACTCAAGCATTTATCACTCAGATTTCCTCGCAGTAATATGTTATCAAGCTGTTATGTTGCTTCAATTGATTCGATTGAGACAGCTATCTGATATATAGTAATTTAATCACTACCTGTGGTGTGGCTTACTATTAAATCTCTTGCGCAATCTGCTCCGCGCAATCGAAATCTACTGTTTTTATCAGTTCGGTACGAGTTGATACATTTCATTTCGTATATTATATAATGAGAAGAGAGAACTCTTTATCTATAAGTAGGTAGTTCAGCATCAGGTTACTAGAAATCCATAAAACTGAGATGTAGAATGCTCATTTACTGAATTCACTTGCCCTTTCTTTGGAAGTTTTCTACTGGTTTGATTGTAACATGAATTTCAATGAATACTTATACTAAATAGAGATTACCGAACCTTAGTCTATTGGCTAATTGTATGGATTTTTTTGGAGTCCACTTATTGATTACCTTATTCTCCGATCAAAGGAAAGGTGAGAAAGTTAGAAGGATTGTCGTATATCGTGCAAAATGCATGTATCATACACACTTTCTGGGGCATCGTTTTTTCGTTTCTGGAGGCTTTTTTGGTTACCTTTTTGCTTCCAAAATTCGTTATAACCACAGCTACAAAAAAAGTCATCATCACCATTTTCGGAGCTGGGCCCAGGGAAATACCACCCTATTGTTTTACATCTATTTTCGCCTCTTTAATTTCACAGTTCACCAGTCCTAAGCCCGTATAAAGAGTGAAGGTTGGGAATAGGGCTAGCAACCCTACCCCGTAAAACCAATCCAACCGCTAAAGAAACTTCAAAGCACAAAGAAAATATACAACATAAAAACAAACTTATTCCTCGCTGGAATCGGAGAGGCGAAATGACGTTAGTTGGTGAAAGTCTTTGGGAAGCCAATTGGCCGATGTGTCTTCTCTCAATGAAAGCAAAAGTAAACATGGGGCATGGAATGTCCGAACAATGAAGCTGGCTGGCTGGCAAGGCTGCCCAGATTGCGAAAGAGATGAGAAGGTATACCTTCTCATGGAAGTGGACTCTCCAAACTCTCAACTGTAGAGGAGTCAATAATCTACTCCGATATTGTCACTCAGACGACAACCACGAGCACACTGAGTTTTCCAGTGGCTACCATGATGTCCCCAACAGCATCGAAGGCTCTCATACAATGGGAACCATTCTCCTCCACCATCAGGATCATGACACCAAGATGGATTCAACTCAAAAGGAAGGAAAGTCACAATCATACAATGCTACGCCATGCACCTACAAATAATGCAGATCAAGCGAAGGAGAAATTCTACAGACAATTACAAACAGTACTGGACAAGAATCCATCCTAGTTGGTGACATCAAAATTCTAATGGGTGGGGTGACTTGAATACCAAACTCGGATCAGACAACACAGGAAGAGATCTCATCATGGGTCGAGAGGCACTCGGTAAAGTAAACGAGAATGGAGAACTGTTTGCAGACTTCTGAGTCTTCAGCGATTTAGGGATTAGAGACAGTGTGTGTTCAAACACAAAGATATTCATAAAACAGCATGGATTTCAACAGACACCAGGACACACTGCACTAGAAATCAGATCGACTTCATCTCAATCTCAAGAAAGTGGAGACGCAGCCTATTGGACACAAGATCAGATTAAGAAGGGGAGCAGATGTACGTTCACACCACTCACTCACTATCTGGTGCAAGGAACCTACCTTCAAAATCAAGTTGAAATCCTTCGAAGAAGAAGTTGGTGATTGGCCACAGTTCAAGTACAACACATCCAGAAGAGAAACTAAACTGAAGGATGAAACTTCAAAGGACATCTTCACGTCAGTCATCAGGACAAAATAGGAGACACTGAGCAGCATCCGTGAAGGAACCTGCTTGGAGGGACACTGGAACTGTTTGAAAGAGATGTGGAAAGAAACCTGCATAACCGTATTAAGAAGGAAGAAGAAGCATGACAAGACATGTAATGAATCTCGACGGATACATGGACGCTCATGGGAGAAAGTAGCTGGTAGATTTTGCTGGTTTGGTAAAACCCCAAAGAATAAGTATTCCAGTCCACATAGCTTTAATGAGTTATTGTATCAACGTACCATCACAACGAAGTGGTGACTGTCATTGGAATTTGTTGAAAATATTCAGGGTGACTCGCATGTAACACGTATAAATTTATTGGTACTGGTCCGGTGGCTTCGATGTTTCCGCCAGCGTGAATCATTTAAGGATCCTAACATGTGATATTGATAAAATTTCTCTCTGGCTTAGATTTTAATCTAGAAGCATCGTCGCCCTCTGACAACTAGGTTTATCTAGTTCTACTTTACAGAATTGTTTTTAGCTTATGCACTGTCGTAGTAAAAGTTATTGGTAGAAAGTTCCCTTTGCTACAAATATCCATAGATGTATCCCGACAACTACATGTGAGCATGTACAGCTGAAAATTATAGTCAAAGGGATGCATTCGGTAATAGATTTCAGCAGTTAATTTACGTTTATTTTGTATTTAGTCTTAGAAATGTAATGTGATTGTACGAATCATGTTATAACGTTTAAGATTCAATACTGGTTGGTACTGACAAGTCTGCTGAAATCACATTTAAAGATGTTGCTGGTTTTTAGCCTTAAATCAGTATCTTTACATAATTTCAACATTATATCTTCTAAAGCTTGAATGCTTTGACTAACCTTATTTTTTAAATTTCATTTCTTCCCATATACCTTTGTCTACTTTGATATCAGTCTATCCTATCCACTTGTTCTTCGTATACTACTGTAAAGTGTGTCAGCTTGAGCCAGTGCATTTGTGTATGAGGTTCTGTGTTGGATTCGTCTATCTGTCTACTTGCCTTGGATTGCTAACTGCTGATAACTCTGAAAAGTAATAGACTATGTTTTACACTACAGGATAAATTTAAACTGTTGCGTTACTTCATTCATATTGTTTTGATATAGTTTCAGTGGAATTCGAGTTATTCTTTATTTTTCCCTGCAACTGTATGAAACTTTATCCAAAATCCCATCCATTTCCTCAGGCTCACTGTAACTGAAGAACTAATGCCAGCTGTGTATTTTCTGTCGAAGAGTCTCCGTATCCCAACTTTACACAAAATATGTACCGAGTTTTTAATACACAATTTATCAATCAACAGTGTTGGGGGTAAGATTTCAGTAATTTTGCTGATTTATTAACCAAAGCCAGTTATTCAGTTCTGTTAATATGCTTTATATATATATATATATATATATATATATATATATATATATATATATATATATATGAAAAGCTCAAGTAACATATCTCAGTCATCATAATTGATAAGGATTCACAACTTCTTGGACTGATGTCTCCTCCTCTACTTTGCACCCAAGTGCAACATTCCTAAACTCAAACGTACATTAGCACTGTAGATCAAGTATTGTTCCCACCTAGTCGTTGCTGGTGTTCGAGAAGTTTGTTTATTCACTAGACGAGAAATATCTATTAGGCATGGTGTTATTTCGCTGTGATTTTGAACTTTATTGCTATAAATGTGATATAATGACCAATTCAGCTGTACCTAAACTGTGCCAAACACTTATAAATTCAAACTGAAGCAACTGTAAACAGGTGATGAATTCCCTACGTTTTGTTCGCTTCATTCCTGAGGATGAAACCAGAGCAAGAAACTTTGCAGAATGGAATTGTTACGATGAAAAATGTTAATAATTGACGATTAAGAGTTGAGGGTTGAGACAGTTTGACCCGACCGATCCTCATTAGGAAATCAAAAGACTGATAATCAGTTGAGTTCGCAGTATCTCGAGCTGCGGACGTTTATTAGCAAAAAACAACTCTATTTATGGAGTTTGCAGTGACTGAGGCAGGAGTCAATCAGAACGCTAGCAGGTTGTACGAAATATGATCCACGTCCAGAAAAAAGGGCGTGAACAAAAGCCCTTCAAAACGTATGTATATAGGGATTCCTAACAGGAGTGTATGCTCCTTTCATTGCATGACTATTTGTTGGCTAAACTCTAGTTTTCTGATATATTATCCTGGGATTCTAAAAGTGAAGTACACAATGCAACCAATGATATCAATTCGGTGCCGAAGTTTTTCCGAGCAATCTAATCCATCGGTGCTTCGAATGTGTTCAAACAGCCGGTGACTGAAGTTCATTTTCACAAATATGACTACTTTCCTTTCACCTCGAATGCTTTATTATTACAAATATTAGGCAAATAGTAATTCTTCTCGAAGTTCAACTGTCCTATTTCGTTGACGTTTCTGAATATATCCTTAGGTGTATATTCACATAGTATCATGGATGTAGTTTCTTCAAGTGTGTGGATATTCATTGTCCGCTTGTACCAGAAAGCAGAAAATGTTTAAGCTCCAAGGTTTTTATCAATTATTTACATTGTTGTAAATAACTGAGGTGTGCCTACTTCTGACATCACTTACGTAATACGATTTTTACCTGTAAATTACTGAAAGATTGTTTACACATTTGTTCCTTCAGAGTACAGTAGTCACATCAAGACTGAGCTTGGTGACTATTACGTGTTGTGCAGTCAAAAGTGCTAGGTGAATCACTTGGAGTACTTAAAATTTACTTGTTTGATTGGGAAACATACCAAATGTTAATGACTAGTGGGGAGATGTGGCTTAGATATTTGATTTTCAACCAGTTGACCATAAGTTGGAATTCCGCTCCACCTACCGAGATGTCTACAACTAGGTAATATTCTTAGCCCTCACACGATAGCTATGGCTTATTGCTTGCTGCATAAACTTGCGCGTGGTTTTCAGTTAAATGTCAATTTCTTATCGTTACTGTAATTTAGATGTTTCATCCTAGAAGAATTTTGTAAAGTAATGCGAATGTCACATTTCAGTCAAGTACGTGCTCCGTAAATGCTAAATTGTGCATTTCATAATCGAATGTATTGCTATAAATACACTACTTCATGCAGTTTTTTATTAGTCGTTATTTGACAATATAACTGATGAAGTAGTTAATCATTTCACTGTCAATACTATTTTTTTCATGGTAGTTTGTTAACAGTGATTATCTATAGCTGATCATGTCATGTGTTTCAGGAAGTGCTACTTACTGTGAAATCTGAATCACCAGTGGTGGACGTTTTTAAATTACCTTTATGCTGATTCGTCCATCACACCATGAATCTAAGTAATTTCAGTCGATAAAATTGCAGAAACTGATCAGCGTTTCTAACTAGATAAAGTCGCTATGCCCTGCTCTGCACACTTCTTAATGTCTTTGTCGCACAAAATTGAATTTGAATTACAGCTGAGTTAGTGTAATTGTATATAGTTGTCAGTATGGATTATAGAATAATTTCTATAGTATTTTGTGCCTGTTCGGATAACTTGGAAATCAGTGTGATTTAAAGGGCTGTAATAAATAATGAAAGAACTATTAAGAAATTGATGAATAGATATGCGTATTCCCTTTTGCTGGAGCTGGTTTCAAAAAAAACAAGGAAACGTGCCACCTGTCATTCACCAGTCACTGTTCTCATGGTAGATATAAACCGGCAGCACAGTGAACACAATAAAATACCACCTTTTTTCTCTAGTGTACTTGGGCACAAAACTTACTAGCAAAAAGGAAAACTTTAGAAAATGAATTATTTTTCAAGGAAATCGCATGTATAGCACTTTTAAAAAAGTAGAATATGCTGTTAGCAGTCTTATCTAAACTCCGTTTACCGAGTAAACAAAAAGTCAAAGTTCAAGATTTCACTTTATAATAGAAAAACATGTTGATTCACTTGACCGCTGGTTAAAACAACTATCTAGTTAAGACAGACATCAGTAACCAGTCGCAATACAAATCAATCACGTGAGTTGTCTGTTTGGTTCATTTTCAGTTGCATGTGCGTTATTCTACTGCATTAGGGTTATGATGTGTAAAAATATCAGTCTGTATATAGATAAAACTTACAAAGTGACTAGCAATTTTCTAAAATAAACAATCACACTTTTTTATTTCCTTTATTTTCCCAACTGAAACGTGATTCGTTATTTCAGTAGTTGCTGGGGTGGTCTTTAGAGTCGCTCAGACTTATCAAGATGTATTAAGCATGAAAAGTCAAGTACTCATAGCTTTATTTGCAAATACATATTCACAAGGGCTAGTGGAATAACCGGTTTTTAACTGCTGCAATGTGATTTATTGCAGCAGCCTAATGGTTAACACTCTAGTGTTTGAAGCAATTGGTACTGAGTTGAAGTCCCAGTGGTGACGACATCACTTGGATTGGGATAAATCCACATGATTTCGAAATAGGACGACATTTATGTCCCGAGCTCTGCTGCTAGCGAACATTTTTGTGTCTTTCTGTCATTTGTTTCGTACTGAACATCTTGGTCATTCTTTTTCTATGTCGTTCATCTGCACAATTTACGCTAACGTTATTCCAAAATAATTCCACACTTGCGAATCGATTTTCCTATGATAATGAATGTATCCATTTCAAAATGAATTCCAAGGTAGGCACGTTAGGACGGCAAATAAAAGATTTATAAGAGGCAATGTGCTTACAGGGAAAGTTTTTAATGGGTTTCTTTAATGCATCTAAAACAGCTTTTTTACTTTAGTGTGAGAAATTCATTTAGAGATTTTAAAAAAATATCATCAAAGCATATAGTATTCGCTTTTTGTTATTTCTTTTGCAGTTCTTTGTCGCTTTATTCAGTTCAACGGACTATACCAAAAATGTGATGAGAACACTAGCGATGATAAATTTCATGTGCCAGAAATTTGTTTAGCGAAATCCGTACATCATTACCTTTTGACGGAAGCAGATGTAATCGCTTGTTCTCAAACAGGCATTCTTAGTGCTCGCCTAATAGTGAATCTTACAGGGAATTTAAATTCAACTGATGATCAGGATAAAGTTCAAGAACCAACTGACGAATGTTTAGCCTTTGGTGTCCTACATTGGGCATTTGAGAGGTTACTGAGTGGCGAAAGGTTAGCAAAAGCTGGAAGTGATGATAATGTTTATTCCGACGATGAAGAAAGTGATGGTAATGGTAGCAGTCATACTGGGAAGAACAGTAGTGCATCACATCGCAAAAGAGCGGGAAGTCAGTTCCAATTTCTAGCTCAGAAGAATTTACTTGGTGGAGGTCGTTCAAAATATGGTGTATCGGCTCAAGATGATCTTGTTTCAGATGAAGATGATGCAAATGCAGAAGCTGAAGTTGAGGAGCGTGCTTCTATTTCAGACACTCTGGATCCATTGGGCTTTTTTAGCACGCAAGACATACGAGTAAGTCTCAAACCTAAAACAGATCAGTTATTAAGATTTCCTACGCTTTACATATTTTTCTTTATTGTGTTATTAGCATGTGCAACTAATAGTGACATCCTTTTTCCCTTTACGTATGGACTGTAGGTTTCGAATGCTAAATCAATGTACTGTTATACTGTATATGTTCTTAAATATGTTATCTACTGATGAACGAATAAACTGTAGGTACCCTCACAACATCTCTGTCCTGGTATCACCAATAAGTGTGTAATAACGATGTTAGCCATGTGATCCTGGTTGCGAAAAATTAACCACTTGATGTAATTGTGCATGTGATGTCCATTGATATGATTCACTGAATAGCCAATTACATCGTCTTGCGAAATTCCTTATATTATAGGAATGATGTAGCAGTATGGTTGTCATAAACTACCGTTATCTGAAGCATGTTATCGGGTGTAAGTTGTTCATTATCTCTGTTCGAGATAGGATGGGTCACTAGTTGATATCGATGACTAAAGTTCTTGCTCTTTGACTATCCATTCTTGAAAATAAAGTTACGGGTTTAAACTCATTTTGACTGTTATACATTATTATTCACCATCAATCATACGTGCAAACTTGCACTTGATTTCTAACTTGTTTAATAAAGACTGGAAACGAATATTTGGAATATTTCTGAAACTTCTCTGGGTATAATAATCCTCATAACCCCATCGGGTTATTCCTAACGCTCTGTATGGTCTGAATTATAAATGTTTGGTAATTCAGTAACTGATTCTTATGGGTTTGTAGAAGTTGACATAGTATTATACAAAAAGATTACTAAATTTCTAACAGGTTTATTGTTTACGTTCAATTTTTATTTGAACATGTGGCAACTCTGACCGTTACGCAGTAATATCTGGTCCTATGTTGATATTGATGACTATGATGATGAACATGGACAGAACAAGCCGGTTTAATGTCGATCTTTGGGTTTCACTTTACACACCCAAGAACTAAAGATAGGAGGCTATTAAAGTGCTGTTTTTTCGAAATCGTAAACATTATTTTGTCGATTAAACATTGTGATGTAGCCTTTATAATCGGCAGTCTGACAAGAATACAAATAGGCAAAACCAAGTCTACACATACATCTGAATGGTTTCACCAACAACGAACACCAACCGATTTCTAGCAGCCTGTACAGTTGCATACCTAGACATACCAGCCTCTGAAGTTGATGTTTTAAAGGTTTGAATTTATCAAATAAAAGTTTACACTATTCAATATCTGGAACTAATTTAGAGGTGTTATCACTGAATATGTGCATTACTAATGAAGTAATAACTTAGTAACGATCCTTCGAGCATCAACACTGAAATTCCCGGCTATAAACAGAAGTGAGAACATTAGCATTGGGTACCTAACCTTTCAACTAAACAATGCACACTTCGGCATCGAATATGATTTTCGGAGTTTTAAAGGTTTGTCGTCTATCTCACCCTTATGTTACACCTACACTTATCTAGCTGTATAAACTTCTTAGTTGTTTAGATATTTCACTGAAAATGAGTGGAAACGGTCTTTTGTGACGATCTAAGGTATGAGTACATATGTCATAGAAAATGTAGATTTTCAGGTGGGATTAAAGTGACAACCGAAATCGATGACTGTAAGTGCTATTGCATAGAATCGGCCGTAGTAATGCGGATACATCCATATATTATTCTCATCCTGATCATTATGCAACATTTCATTGTTTGCTTCACGCCTCATATTTGACCCTCTACGACTTTTGATAATATATTTTCTGTTTCTACGTCTTGGTGTCTTTTATCTTGATGCACCAGTGTTAAATATGGCAACTTGAGTCATCACTCAGTAGTACCAAAGGTTTTGTTGACACTGATCAGCTTACATGAGTAGCGTAAAGCACATTGGATACAAATATCTATTGGCGGCCTATGGTTTTAATAGCCCTTGGGTTGGTTTTATTACACCTGGGTGCTGCCGATAAGGTAAATATTGGCGAATAAGTTGAGTTTTCTGTTGCTTATTGTAGTGTTGACAATTTCATTTAGTTCCTTGATGCGTGTTACATTTCCCTGTCATTTTATCACTGGTTATCATTGACAAAAGGTAGAAAGTAAATGTAATTTTCAGGTCTGATATATACTTTTGGTGGAGTGGACAAAGCTCGATGATAATAAAACTGTTTCATGAGGAAACATAATGAGGTTGATGAAATTGCAGGTTCGAACGTGAGAAAGGAGTAACGGATGGTCATGATGAGGTAATTTAAATTGTTTTCCATTTATTCTTTAAAAGTTGATTTCGGACTATTTATGATAAACAAACAGGTAAATTCATGGCTACCAGAAAATGTCAGATTATTTCATAGCTGTGAAGGTAATTTAGAAAATGTTTGGGTGTTTAGGTGGTTTTCGTGTATTAGGATAATTTCCACTGCATGGTGAAATTAGCTACTTAATATGTTTCTTCAACTTCTATTAACTTTCGGTTTTATAAAGGGCGGTACTTATTACTACTGAGCAACGGATCAGTTTATATAATCCATTTATGAGGTACTTACCATAATTCTAGTTGACAATCATGTATACATGCATCTCACAACTATGAGTTTACGAATTTCAGGAGTATGCGTTCTCCCAAAGTACAGTTAGTACAACTTCCTGATGTAAAAAAATTAGGAAAACCTAGAATTACTGTTTTCTGTCGATTTTCTGCAAGCATTTGAACAGAGTAGTGTAGTATCACTCATGGAACTCCAGTTGTAATACTTTTTCAAATGATAGAATTAATGTGAGATAGTTATTACTAATCCTTTTCTCAAACTTCTTTCTACTCATAGTTTTCTCTTTTAGCCATATTTTATAAAATTTAGTTAAATGTGAAGAAAATACAGCGTTACTGAACTGGTGTATGTTCTTACTTTAATTTATCAGATTTCTGTGGACGTAAATGATTTATTTTTGGGTAAACATGAAAATGAAATGGAAAATATTTTACCTCAAGTAAGAGTTTATTGTTGTCAATTGCATTTCTGTTCAAAGTATGAATTATTTTCAATTGATTTTCATATTTGAACCTGTGAAGTATTGCAGAAAGAAAATGTAGGTTTGTAATGCATTACACCTAACTTGAAGAATGAATTGAGCCTAACTTTTGGAGTTTTTTTTGTCTTTCTGAAGTATATCGTGTTGAAATGAAAAATACACTCACTGAACACGAAGTCATCTTTAGAAAAAATCCTCACCAGTCACCTTCAGTACTCCAGATATCAAGCATTTTTATGTTCATAATATTCATCTGTTGTTTTCAAGGGGATTCTTGTATTGTATTGTTTACATCAATATCAAGTTATGGGTTCATGCGCGAATTGACAGTAAGTATCAGCCAGAATGTGTCACTTGTGACTAGGGTTGTATGACAGATAGTATGAATTACTTGCGTGTACGCAAATAGTAAAGGAAATAATGAGTCATGTAAATACATCTTTTTCTTTGTTGTAATAATACTAGTCAGCAGCGAAATTATTGCTACTGTTATCGGTATTATTAACAACTTGCTCTAAGTCAATATTTCACAAGTACATGTAACATCTATAGACGGTTTACATAGCAGAGGCTGTTTATGTTAGTTGGTGGGAACAGTTGAGAGGAAACCTTGGACCTAGGTTTCTAGCTTGTTGGCACTCATCACCATGGCGTATCTGCAAACCCAACGGAACTGATATCGCGCCTGAGGTTCGAACCCGTGTCACCTAGTGTTGTAGTCATCGTCGTTGCTACTGAACCATTCAAGTCGTGACTAACATCCTGCAGGACTGGGTTACATACATGAATTGGTCAGGGGACAGCAACCGACTTCTGTCGATCATATTTGCAATGTGGCCACCAAGCTAGAAGGTTAACATCGTGGTGCACATTAGTAGATGTTAATTGGTTGGTCGGTCTGGACTCCGGACTAGACAACATGAAATTGATTGTTCTCTCCTGACCAACCAATGTATAAAGGCCGTTTATCTCATAATTTTCAACGTGCTTATTGAGTAATCAAGATTCAGTTAAGATAGGATTACATCTAACCGACTCGTTAGTTTCAGTTTGTCGACTAGTTTCAAGACAGCTTCAGCATTCATTTCTCCCTGTGTAGCTGCGGAGACTAATGCTTATTGTATCCTATCTATTAACTAGTCTATCGTTGTGTTTATATATTTAGTCTGTTTCTGTTTGTTAAGTCGAATCATCATTTCGTGCATGAGAGACTTTAAGACGTAGCGTTAAATATTTTGTTGACAGTGTGAATTACGCAATTAGCGCATACTGGTCAAGGGAAAATATAATAATATGAATATTTTGCATATGTACTAGCCGATTTTCAGTTTTCTCTTCATCTTTCACTTCTTTTCCCGTAATTTAATTCAATTGTTTCTAAGTGTTTCATTGCTATCTGCACGACAAAATGGTAGGATTTTCATGCATACGAGCATACGCCTTTTTTTGCATACTTATCTGGTTATGCGATTGAAGTATTGTACTTATTTTTCCTCTCCTCTGCAAGTTTAATAATTTGGAATATCTACTTTTTATTTTTGTTAGCTGCATGCCAAACTCTTTCTACTTAAAAATAGTTATTGAAGTTGTCAAGCATAGAGAAGCGTTAAATTGCACTTTTTTCTGCTATGTATATCTAATCCCTTTTTATTTTCAATTCTCTCTCTTGTAAATCGCTCTGACAAGTAAATATGTGATGAGATTGCTCGAGGTATACTGTACAGAGACGTCACACTTCTCAGATAAACTCCATTTTCTTATTGCAGTATGTACATATCTATCATCCTGAAATTCGTCCCTAATTTATTATTTCCGTTATTGACTTAAGTGTTAAGTGGATATGTATACAGGAGTTTTTGACGTTACTCTACTACCTTGCATATTAGACATACAGTTAAGGGGTCAGGGAGTGATCTTCAATCTTGACGTACAAGGATTATGTTAATTATCATGCAAATTACGGAAGAAACATTTTACAGTGAAGAATTTTGAGTATCTGTTTCACCTTTTTATAACTAATCAAATATACTGCATTACAAACTTTGTACTAATTCATGCAATTTATAGTCATCATTTTTTCCTCATTTTTGTTTTTCTGCCTTCATGTTTTATGCTTCTATGATGTCGTGATATTTTGTGATGCATTTTTTGGTCCTCATGCCTGTGTAATAGGTTAATTATATAAAGGACCTTGTACTAGGTCACATTCAGTATTGAATGGCTTTTGGGGCTAAGAAGTCGAACTAGATAAATCAATATTTGAACCGGAAACCCGTTGCTATAGGATTGAGGTTACCTTATTAATCACTTGTTGTCATTTTTTTCTGTCGTGAAGGTTCATCTTCATTTAAGTTCTAAAGGAAAAAAGTTATAAATCCTCTGTAACTAAGATTTTTGACTTTTTTTTCATTAGCCAATACTAATGTAACATATCATACTGCACTGGTAGCATTTGATGAGAATTATCATAATCATAAGATTCTATTTAGTTTGAATTCTGTTAATTTACAAGTTTATTATTTTCATTTTTTGGTCTATAAATTGTTTTAATGTTCAGGAAATCAGTGATCCTCAGAGTAAACATGGCTTGTTAACTGTTTGTCTAACAACTGGAAGTCAAGAATCTGAAACATGTTTATTGGCACCAACAACTCTTGGAGGTAAGTTGAACGTAATTATTCGGATGTGTTCTGACAGTGTCCATGAATGATAACTGAAAATTGATGCATTTGATTAACGGCTCTACAAATCACTGGTGTCTTTTGTTTTCCTTTTTCGGGAATTACTTTTATTAAATTATTGAATTTAACATACCCCTCGTTGTTGGATTTGTGATACTAATCATTACTGTTGTTACGGTAGTTGGTTTATTTCGAGATCGATATTTAGTAAATGGAGTCAAAGGGTTGAAGTGTAACAAAAATCGCCCGGATTAAGGATTCACTTGGGTTTTAGTCAGTGTTTCGATGGAATCAGTCGGCAAATAAAGTATTGTGTAACAGAATCAGACAGCTTAATTAAAAACAAGTGGAGCTGTAGGTCATTGGTTTAGGGAGGTGAATTTCAACTAATGGGTCACTGGTTCGAGCTGCGCCCCACCTACTAAGGTTCGGGCAGCCATGTAGTATCAATAGCCTTCACACAATAGGTGTGGCTCATCGCTTACTGCACCAAGTGGCTGAGTGCATTTCAATTCGAATTGAAATCAAATCAATATGTTAAAATGATTAAGTGAAATGACACCGGAAAACTATTCAAAGTGTAGGTAATTATAATAGAAATAGTAGTGATGACGGAAGGATAAGCAGATTAACAAGGGGGAGGGATTAAGGAAGTGGTAACGCCACTGTAAAAACTGACTGTACATACTTCTTTCGTACACAAAGACCAAGCTTTAGTTCATAAATAACTAAGGCCTCCTCTGTTCTAAGAAGTTGAAAACGAAGAAAACATAGCAGATCTGGGCGAGTTCGATATCAACAATTTTAAAGTCATTGTTTGAACTTATTGAGTGTTGGAAATAGATCAAATACTCTTGAATTGAACCTCTAATAGCCTTTCTTTCACCTTTATGAAACCAATCTGGAACATGCTATCGTATACGTGTAGTGTTTACTCTTTGCGTCCGTTTGCCTCCCGATTTCGATATTGAGTGGTAATCAGCAGGTGGGTTAAAAGTAAAAGTTTTAAAAGTAGCATAGATGGGGGAGTAGTGAAAGTGTTTGTTGGGAAATGACGCCGAGTCTTGTTATAATATGAAAGCCTGACACTGAACACAATTCATGCAAATATTCTCTGCATTCTAAATGAGTTGATTTTCATTTTCTGTTGTCTCTTCGTTTGTTTTCTGTATCCCCCTCCTCTTTTCCTCGTTGTGGACCTGCAACTTATTGGTTTAGGGAGACGACTTTCAACCAGTAGGTAAAGGGTCCGAGCCCCGCCCTACTTATCAAAGTCTAGGCAACCAAGTGGTATCATTAGCCCTCACACAATAGGTGTGGCTCATCGCCTACTGCACAAATGTGCATTTCAAATTCAAATATTCCTTGTTTCAGAACCTTTTTCTATTGAATGATAACTTCACTTGCTTTCCCGAGTTCAGGTTGGATCTATGAGAATTACACTAGATTAGTGGCTGTAAATCACCTGTGATCTAGTATAATTCCTTATAGTTCACGTCACTGTACTTCTCATAAGCAAATCAAGGAAGAAATCCAAGTACACCAAGCTATTCAAGCGATTTTCAATTAACCATTATATGCCTATCACCTAGTCACAGTCAGGATGGTACTGTAACACTTACCCTTCTATTCTTACTAAGTTGAGAATTCTTTTGTAAAACTAGAATAGAACGAGGTAGTAGGTACTGATGGTCTGTTGCTAGCTACCTCTGGTGGTTGATACTTAACAGTTCGACTAGCTGGTGTATTGACTGGGATAAGGAACATCGAGATATTCCTTTTGTAAGGAGCGGGATTTTTTCGAGGAGTTGACCTGATTGATAATGTGTAAAACGTTCGTATCTATAGTCATTCAGTGCACAATTAGCAATTATCAGCGGCGAAGTAGTAAAATTAAACATGTTTCAGTTATGGTGGGGAAGCATTATTTCATACTCTGTTTAATCCTGAAACAGGAATATATTTATCTGCACTTGATGCTGACTGTTTAGGTGGGACATTTCACATTGTCCATCGCTAGATCAATTTAATGATAATGTCGTCCTGCGGCCGTATGGATGATAAATAACTACCTTATAAACATACTTATGCAGTGAATTACTTATATTAGATTCATTATTTTATGATTCCATCGTGCATGCTCCTCTTTGTCCAATTCAACGTAACTCTATTCTTATATTAATGAAGAGTTTATACATCGTGGAATGGATTAATATATTGATGCAAAGTTTGCACCCAATGATAAGTTTGTATTTCGCAAGATTTAGCAATATTTGTTGCGAAGATATTCCAACTGTTGTTGTGATCACCGGCAGTAATTTTCGAAATATTACCAAAATAAAAACTTATCATTGTGTGTAAAAATTTGCCTATAATACACTAACACCATTTCTCTTATGACGCAGAATAACTTAGTGGTACACTCGTGTCCAACCTTTTACGTTGTTTCTGTGTTGTTTGGTGGTTCTATGGGATCGCCATTCTATGATTGTCAAACTTAGATGGAGTAAGTTATGCTGCATCACAGTGCGCTTTGCTGATAGTCTTCACGGATTTCAATGTAACAATAATTGTCTGTATAACAGTTTGATGGGGTCTAATTTTTATGACGATTTGTACTTTAGAGGTTGACCTTGACCTACTTTTGATTACGTTCCACTCACTTCATACGGGATGAATATTTTACTGGTTGAAAAGATGAATTAGATTTATTTCCTTGAGGAACACCTCACTTCTTTCTTGTTTGCTTTATTGCATTATATACAGTGACTTGTTAAAAATTTACATTGTTTCAACTTCATGCTCATCAAAATGCTGTTGCAAGTTTATGAGTAGCAGGATTCTTCCTTCACTTTCACTCTTGTATAGACTGCAGTGAGTAAATTCTGCCAACGAATTCCCTAGTAATATAGGTCATCAGATGTGATGCGCAGCATACATTTATTTTCCCAACCAAACACGTATGTGACTATTGTTGTTCTGAACAAAGTAAGATCGACAGTTTGAGCAGAATTATATGACATCATTTCATTTCTGGGATTCTCGTCAGCTGTTTACAATCTGAAACATTTTCTTGCCTTGTTGAAATTTGTACTGGGAACAAATCACATGATACTGATTTCATCGATAATTTTCTTACTACTAGTGGTTAGCTTTTTCTCCATGTATTATGGTTTCAAGCATAAACCTTTTCATTTCTGATAGTTGACTGTAAATGAGTTCGAAGTGATCAGTAGAATTCTGTCAGCCCTCATGACTAGGTAACACAAAATTGGTTGCTCTCCAGTGACCAGTCATCGTAACTAGTCTAATCCTGCAGGAGGTCAGTCACCACCCGAACAGTTTATTGGTAGCGTCTGTGACTGCAGCACTAGGTAGCGCGACTTCGAATCTCAGAGGGAACATTAGTTCCGTCTAGGTTGTAGGTTAAAATCAATCAGTATCAACATGGGACCAGGCATTACTGCACAACAGATCAAGTTACCACATCTCATCGTCACATTAAGTAACAAGGTAGTAAGATGGAAGATGAAGAAAGAAAGGAAAAATGGTCAAAAGCAGTAGAATGCATTAAGAAAGAGAAAGGAGGGATGAGAAAATGCTGAATTCTACATGACGATTAAGATTAAGATAAAATGTGGATACATCTGCGCCACTGACATCGTTTCTTTGCCATATCACTTAGGGCCTTCAACCACTGGTTCTTGTCATCACATTGACATCAACCGGGAAATCTACATTTCTCCCCAAAAATCAAAGATTTTATGCAATGGTGCCGCGATTCAGTTTGGCCGCCCTAAACCTTTTTCCAGCCTGAACATACTTCAGTTAGCGTTGCGCGACAAGGCAGATAGTGATTAGACATACCTATCACATATCTCAACCACCTCAGTTTATGAAGGTTTACAACGGCACCAACCGATATTCCTTTCCTTTCTTGAGCTCTACGCCTCACTTCTACATTACTAAGGTATGGCACCATGACACATGACCTATTCTGCGAAAGCAGCGGTGGTCAGAAACCCGGAAGCCTTCTCAAGTCCTCTACTTTTGATAGTCATATTTCACAGCTATACAGTAAAATGGAGGGAACTGTTATGCAGTACACTGGACCCTTAATTAGCGGTTGGATATCGCAGCGTCGCCACAAATGGTCGGAGTTGGTAGAAATCAGTCGAAACTTGTGTATCTATGCTAAGGTTTCATCGACCAGTGACCCACCAGGGCTGATCCGAATTCCCAGGTAAACATAGTGTTCAATATACTCACCCACTCCCCTCTGTGTTGTTAGCTAGGGGACTGCTGAATACCGGTCCTGGAGGAACAGATTACACAGATTACGCGCCCGTGAAATATTGTCAAGTTGCCACTCAGTGTGTCCAGAAGACTCTGCATCTTGTCAGGGTCCTCACCTAACGGGAATATTTCATCTGCATACTCCAGATCTACCAAAGATTTTCCTGTGATCATGTCGATCCCTGTGATATCAGATTATGAGAGACGTCCGTAGGAACGTCTGTGACAGAATTGAACAGGAATGGAGAGTGGGTATCCTTGACTTACACCACTTGATAAACACAATTCACCTGACAATTCATTGTAGTCTGTAACATACTCATGGATGTTTGAGTAGGGAGCCTTAAACAGACTTCGGTAAGTGTACCTGTGTTACAGAACCTAGAGGAGGGTGAATATCTGGTCGATATACTCACGGTAAGGTTTGAAGCCGGCGCGTTTTTCTTGAGCTTGCTGCTCCCAAGCTCCACTCAGACGTCTAATAGTTACAAAATCTTAGGTACTATGTTCGTTAAGCGGATCCCCACGTGGTCATCACAAAAGCAGTTTTCACCTTTCTTGAACACTGCGACAATCTGTAATTAAGTCCAGTCAGAGGGGATCGTATCTGACCTCCACACACCAGTTAGCACTTCAGTTAACTTGACTCAAAGTCCTCTGCCACTGTCTTTAAATACCTCTGC